CTTAGGTACAGCCTTTAAAAGCCTACCCCTTGTAATTTACTGCCACTAGCTATGTCTCACCTCCCAATGTTCCATACCAGACCACCTAAACAGTGCCTCTAACTGGGGAGCAGGCTTTCAAAAAATGCCAAAACACAACTTGAGGGTGGATTTCAGGACAAAGCCATGACAAATCATATTTACTCACATCCTTGGTTTTATCTCAGGTGGAAGTATGGGAGATGAAAACGTTCAAACAGCACACAATGGAAGAGTACAGTGTTTTCCAAGCTGGGATACATGTGTCTGAATCCTAAGATGCTTCCCATGTAGATCCCAGTGTCTTTGGACAGGCTCATGGACATATACATTTAAAAATCCTCTTTTCACTATTTTATTTATTTTCTGTATGTAATTGTTCTGCTTGTGTGTATGTATTTCTGCCATGTGTGTCCCTGGTACCCATAGAAGTCAAAAGAGGGACACTGGATCCTTTTGAACTGAGTTACACATGGTTGTGAGCCACCATGTGGACAGTGGGAATGGAACCTCAAGCCTCTATAGGATGAGCAAATGTTCTTCAACACTGAGTCATCTCTTCAGCTCCACATATGCATTTTAAATAAGCTTTCCATAACACTCTTTAACATATTACAATTAAAACATCTCAGGAGCAGAAAGTGTTCTGATGTTTTGTTTTGTTTGATGACTGGATTTTTACTCTCTGAGGACTCACTTCAATGACTGAATTGGTGTTCTTTAATCCATGCCCTTCCCCCATCCTCTTATCAAAGCACAGCCGTGAATCTATGGGAAGAGCTCTCAAAAATCATGACAGGACAGATGTTTGTAGTTTCATGTATTATCAAGCAAGAAACAAAGATAATTATGAGATAGCTTTTTTTGTTTTTATATGAGCAGGATTTTTTTTTCTAGCACCAAAAAATGTCTTCAAAAGTAAACAGCTGTGTCAAACACATCCCAAGATGAGTAAATGAATGACCTCATCATACAGGTGCTATCAATGAGAGAAAGTGTTAAGAGACATTAACCAAAGGTCAGACATTTAGAGGTACTCTGATGTGTCACCTCATCCGTTCCCTAGTGTAACTGCTCAGTGGAAAGCACGCCAACATCACACACTGACAGATGAGGACACTGAGACTCAGAAAGACAAAATTACTTGTAAAAAGATATGTTACTTCTTTTTGCTAGAATTGAATAGTGAACTCAGATCTGTTTGTCCCCAATGTCTGACTTTTTTGACAGAAAGGAAACTCAGTGATACAAGTGTACTTCTAGTACCAAAAGAGGAGGCTGATGGAGGTTGTTCTGATGCTTCATTCTGATGTTAATTACTGGCCCTCAAGATCTGGTTACACCTATCCTTGTTTTGTAACCTGCCTAAGATATTTACCTAATCGGGTTGATTACCTGGGCAGGGCAGATGGGTTAGGCATGGCTAAAGTTCCTAGGCTTTTGAGTTCAAGAGAATCATGGGAAAGAGATGGATGGGAAGAGAGGAGGCTTGAGAATGTCAGGATGGGTTAGCATGGAGAAGGAACCACGTGGGTCCCAAAAAGGACTCCAAGGATGGCATGGATGGAGAGAATACCAAGATGAAAAATATAAGCAAATATCTTGGGATTATGTATGGAAGGTAAACCGGATGTGGGTGGTGAAGGCAGATGGCATTCCATGAGATGGATGGTGAGTTTATTGAGATATTGTAGGTAGAAATATCTGCCCAGCTAAGGAAATAAGGCAATTATAAAATTTAACAGATGTCTATGTCTTATTTGATTGTGATTGGGTTAAATAATACCACCATAATAATCATAGGCAAATAATAAACATTATATAATCCAACACTCATTTTTATTTACAACAACAGGAGGCCATGACTGGGCATTCATGGTGGAGCTAGAGATTTGGAATCTAACTGAGGATGTCAATCTTAGGGCATTTGAAGAAACGCTAACTTAGGGACTGTGCTTGCTTCTTCCTAGAATGTGTCTTAAACCCCCTTCCCCCCACCTCCTGTCCTATGCTGAAGGTTAATTTGAAGCTCTTGCTCTAAGATGCTAGCAGAAAGGAAGACCCAGGCTTGTAATAATTCTGTTCCACTGAAACTTCTGCAGTGGACTTCATTCCATTGTGTGGCCAATCAACATGGATTATCCACCAATCAGCATGGCGTCTTCTGGCCCTGCCTTGTCTTAGACCTATGAAGATAAGAAAAATGTTACTTCTGGGTCTTTGGAGAGAATCAGATTCAGTAATGTGACTCTGGGGTGTAGAATATCAGAGTGATTACATCTTTTCCTTCTTATGCCACCAATGCCTGAATCTGAATTGTGATCTGAAACAGTGTAGACTAACTTCTTACTGTTAGGTATCAGGATAATAGAGTCCTTTGGGGATGTTGTTGATTACAAAGCAGAATAGGAAACTTGACTGATGGTAACTTTTTTTTTTCTGCAGGTGAGTATTCCCTTTATGAAAGATGTGCACTTGGGGACTTGACAGTTACTGTACATATCTTTACATGCTTGTAATGCTATAAAACTTATTTTAATCCTATTTAAAATTACAAATGTTTGAAAGCATTTACAGATATTTCTAAGTTGAAACAGTTAAGTGAGTTCATTCCTAAAAGTCAGTTAGCAGTGTCCTGACATTGATAGGTATGGAAGGAAGGAGAAAGTATGACAGAGGAGGAAGAAGGGAGAGTTAGTCTGTTGTGGGCTTCACCCCAAGCCTCCTTTTGTGTAGGTTTCCCTGACTAGTGAATTCACAGTATTTCCTCAATTCTTTCCCCAATCTTCCTGAAACCTGCGACTGGGATGGAGACGTAAGTATGCAAGCAAATAAATAAATAAATAAATGGGCGGGGGAAGAGTTAGAGCTGAAAATAGAAAGATGATTTTCTGGGGTAGCTTGCTTCAGACAAATATGAAGCCAGCCCTCCTATTGGAAGCAAACTGTTTTTAGCCATCACATCTGGCTTTTCCTAAGAAGAGATGAAGACACTGGGACCACTGGGCCACCTGGCACCATAAACACATATCTGTGTTTATGCTTTGGAAAAGACAAGCAAACATCCTAACCTGCAAACACCCCTGCTCTACTCCTCACTGGTGTTTCTTCATTCTCTATCCCGCCTGTTCCCTTCTGCACAACCCTTGTACATGGGTTTTGCAGCAGGCTGCCCTACCTGTGCTCACACAGGTCTTTTGTTTCCCTTCCACTGATGCATTCCCAGCCCTCTGGAGTCTTCTTCCAGCTTCTTCAAACTATTGAAACAGATCTCTGTGTTGTGTGCTTGCAGGCATGACCCCATGGAAGAATATAAATGTAAGGAAGCTTCTAGGAGAATGTGTGGATCTCAGGCATTCTTGTTCTTATCGACTGGAGAATAGTCAGGCCCTCAGGTGGAGTTCTGCTTCCTTCTTTGAGACTGAAGAATTCCTGATTAACCCTTCTTGGAGGTTTTGCAGTTGCTTCCTTAAGGGACATTAGTATTTTAGTTGATAACAGTGCACAAATGACCAGAGCCCTGGCTCTCTGCCGAGCTCCGGCCTTTTGTTTCTGCAGCACAAATGAGCTTCATTAGCAGGAGGCTGGCTTTCTTCTGTCTTGTTGGTCTCTGACTCACAGCATAAATAGAAACAAATCTCCATAATGCATGGAGTCTATTTTCACTATTTTAGTGCAATTACTTGGTACTGTTCTCTGGGTCTTGTCAGCTGTTTCTGTCACACAAGTTTTTCTCAGACAAAGCTACAGATAAAAAAGTAACATATGTCCTAGGAAGTGTCAGAGTAGAAACAAACAGGAGGTTAGATGTCAAACATCACATAGACTGCTTCCACAAGCTTCCTCTCACCTGATTCTCCAACAGCCCTGTGGAGTAGTTGACATTGCTGCCTCTCTCATGTGAGGATGGTAGCTCACAGTTTTGAGCAATCTAGTCAAAGTCACACAGTTATTTTCACAACTCACAGTAAAGTGGTTTTATCTTTTTGTTATTTTCCATATTAAGTCATTTTGAGGTTAGACATCAAAATAGGAAAGTGATTTCAAGACTAGTGTTGAATTCTGGCTATATTGCTGTCTACACTGATAGTTAGTAGAAGAGAAACAAGTACTTAGAGGACACCCAAATTGAGAAGAGCCTTCCTGGGCCTCTGTTTGCCTGATCTAGTCAACTAGTCTTATCAGTGGAACTGAGCAACATTAGGCTGAGATGTATGGAGGGAGGAGCCTGAACCCGAAGCCTTTCCCAGTCTCCCACAAGTCCCCAGTGTCCAGGTTTATATTGGTGAACTAATAGTTAATGACCCGCCACTTTGATTCTTGAGATCCCAGTTCTATGAAATGACATAGTCAAAAGGCCAAAAAAGGCCTAATGCTAGGTAAGGTTCTGAACCCTACCTTCTCTAAAAGTCCTGTGTAGATGAACTCATCTGTCCCTCACAATAACCCCTGGTTATCCCCGTGTTTCAGATGAGATCTGAGAAACTGAGCAAGTTATCATGTTTCTTTGTTTTCCTGAGTGAGGCATTACATGTATCCAGGAAAGTAATATGGTGATCATATGGTCATATATCCCATACAGACAAGTGTTCTGGTATCAGGGCTTTGGGGGCATAGGCATGGACTCCATGGGGGCAAGCAGAAGCAGGGTCTCTTATTTGCGGTCCATAAGCATCCAACGGTCATTCTAAGGAGGATCTAGGAAGCCGAACAACTGCATGTGACATTTTGGATTTGTGTGGACATGTGGACTTATTTATAAGTGTCTCAAAGGCATCTGTGACAAATCATTCACTACTCACCATTATAAAAAACATTTGTTCCAATTATTCATGTGTATCAATTTTATAACATCCAATGGCAGACTGAGAGCACTGTTTCTAAGATTCCCAGAAATTACCAAGGTCTACATAATGTTTCACTTTAATAATTTTCTTTGCAGCTCTGATGCACTTAAACCCTTTTATTGAATGTATTTACAGACTGGATTTTTCCATCTACCACATGGAGACTTTTTCATTGAGCCTGTTAAAAAACATCCACTGACCGAGGAAGGGTACCACCCTCATGTCGTATACAGGAGACAGAGCTCCAGAGCTCCAGAGACAAAGGAGTCCACCTGCGGATTAAAGGGTATCGTGACTTCAACTTTTTCATAGATAAGGATTGTTTTGTTTTGATATGTATTTTCAAGCATGACCTCTTCAGCCAAGTCTGGTAGGTGTGACTGTACTCCCCAAAGACTTAGAAGACAGAGACACGAGGACCATAAATACAAATCCGGCCTGAGCTTCATACCCAGATCTATTCTATGTTAAAAAAAAAATCCTCTCCAGAATGTCTCAGAAAAAAACAACTTAAAGACATAATGCTTTTAAAAAATTGACAATATGATATTACATTAGTGTTAATGTAAACTATTAACAAATAGCTGGCAGCTCATCAGGCCTGCTTACACAAGGCAGATTCAAATGTTTGATAATGATGTGCGAAAGGAAACCAAAACGCTTATCAACACATTATTAGATGATGAGTTTAGCAATGCTTCTGGGTACGCTGTGCTGTGTATGACATTGGCTGAGCCATATTCCCTGCCTCATATCCTCTTGGCCCATGCCCTCCTTTCAACGATCTCTGTCCCTTTGTCTCTCTGCACCTGTCCCTTTGCCCTCTGCCCCTCTATTTCCCTGTTTTCTCTGCTCTCTCCATTTCCCTCCCCATTCTGTTTCCCTGTCCCTCTGCCCCCTGTCCATCTGCTCCCTGTCGCTCTGTTTCCCTGTTCTCTCCCCTCCACCATTCCCCTTCCCACTCTGTTTCCCTGCCCCCTGCCTTCTGCCCTCTGCCCTCTGACCTGCCCATTATCTGAGTTACTCCTTTCTTTCTTTCCCTGGAGAGTTATGATCTTGGAGGAGTTAGGGGAAGGGAAAACCATGATCAAAATATATTACATGAAAAAAATAATAAAAAGGATGTATTTATTCTTTCCACTTTCCTAAAAGGAAAAAGAAAATGTTTTTCACAGAAAAACTGATCCAAGCAACTTCCTGCAACCTCACATTTTCTTTAATGTGTAGAAAATAAAAACTATGGAAAAGGGCTCCTAAAAATTGGAATACATTTTCAAATATTATATATATATACACATATATATTATCTATTTCTTCAGAGGAAAAACTAAAGGTGTCAGAAAAAAAAAGAAAAAAAAAACCCTATTATTTTATGTCTTAAGGATTTGGAAGCCCCCAAAAAGCTGCTGAGGAATGCAGCTCTGTACTCAGCGCAGGGGAGGGTGAGGGGCACTGTGCACACTTCTCACAAACATCCCTGGGAGTTCTTTCTAGAGTCTCAGTAGTGAATGTAAACATCAGGAAACCTTTAAATAGGTAATGCTTTATGTGCATAAAATCAAATGGCTGCTTTAATTCCTTACCTCTGGTAAGTGATTGCAACTGGGTTCTACACTACACAATTTACTGTGTAAATCTTGTAGAAACCGTGACTAGAAAGGGGGACACCAATCAGGTGGCTGATTGGATTGCTGAAAGTGCCAATTGACATCATCTCAATGTAATATTTAGGATGTTGTTTGCCACAAACCCAATCACTGGATAATTATCCCATTCCTATTATGCTTTGGGTATTTGAGAATGTGTTGTGTGTATGACTTTATAGCTTTAAGGTAGAGTTCAAGGTTGGCTTTCCAGCATAACTAGGAGAATTACTAGGGCAATAGGTGAATTTGCCTGGACAGTTGTTTCATGGAATGAGTTAAAACTATCTGTCACCTACCCACTTCTAAACACTTGGACTCAGTTGAGAAGTGGGCTGATACAAATACACCGAGGGGCTGAAGGGTTGCCACAGTAGATAAGAGCACGTACTGCTCTTGTGGAGTACCCAGCTTCAACCCCCAGCACTCACATGGTAGCTTAAAACTGTCTGAAACTCCAAATGCTCTGCCCTCTTCTAGCCTCCTCATATCAAATACATACATGCATACATGAAAATACTCACACATATAAAATAAATGAATCTTTTAGACAGTGAACTGATTATAGCAAATGTTTAGTTATGCAGACAGATGAAAAGATAGAAAAAGAATGGGATTTGCAAATATCACAGTCACTATTTTATCACACATAAAAGCACAATTATGATGCTTGTCAAACTACTTCATATGGTGATTCTAAAAAGACCTCCTCCCTCAACTTCCTCCTCAGAATGATCTTCCTATTGTCAATTTCTTTAAGGACATTCTAAGAGTCTATAATGGACACATTTTTTTCTGCTTTAGAATTCTTCAGAGTGTCAGAATCAATCATCTGTGCTCACAGGGACTTTGCCAATGCACTGTGAGGCCTCTTCCAATGAGGCAGCAGCTGTGGCTCGGAGAAGAGAGACAGTTTTCAAAAGCATCAAACCGGTTAGCATCGGAGCTCAGCCAAGTTCATAAGCCACAGTTTTATTATTCCTCAGGCTTTGGGTTACTTCAGTAGCTCAATGCTACTTTAAGCTTTCTTTCAGTATTGATCTTCTTTCATTGGCCATTCTCACAAGCCCTATTAGGATACATGCACACTCCTTCTGCTAAGTGTGTTAGTGAAAACTAGAAAAGTAAATCATTGAAATGAAACTGATACAGACAGCTTTTTTTTTTTTTTCCAAGAAGAAACCAGAGTGTATCAGTTTATGCTCTAGATAACACTAACAGAAAGAAGAAATAGATATTGAAGAGGTACTGGTTGCCTGAACTATCTCTTTTCCTGAAACAATACTAAAGTGATTCAAGAATATCTAATGAGCTCGTACATATTCTCAAACTATCTAGACATTAGGGCTTTTAACTTGGTAGAGTAAAATGTAACAACAGTAGTCTACTGAGTCCATGCTCTCCCGCAGAGATGATGGAGTCAACCTTGAGCAGCGGTGTCCTCGGCTGATATTAAAATATGCTTGGTGCTTAGGACGGACTGCTGCTGCATGGCTGAATTATTGCTGGGATGATATAAAACTGATTGCCCTGACCATGCATACCGCATTCTGACTTTCTGATGTGCTTCAGCAGAGAAATGGATGAACTCCTTTCCGCTGAAGTTTGACCCTCTGCTTGTTTGTATTTCCCACATGAAAAGGTGTAGGGGATTTTGCAACCAGTGTCAGGATTTGCATGTGATGATAGCTTGTTTTTTATCTGAGTGCTGTAACTATTTCCTCGATCTCTCATGCTGGAGTTGTCTGATTTTCTGAGTTCTTGCTAAATTCTGATGCATTTCTTGTTTTCTCTAAGACCAACATTCTGGAATCTTTGCTAAATAATGAGAACTCTGCAACCTTTATGCTTTCTTTTAATCAGTAAAGATTAAAATAAAGCCCTTTGTCTTGAGATTACTGGTGAGGTGTGTCACCCTGGGGCATGAGTGGCTGTTGGGTGGAAATGTTTAGGAAGCTGAGGAAGTTGTTATTGGGCAGATGACAACAGCTACAGGGTAGTATGTGGCAGGAAGCTGTCCTGGAAGACAAGGCCAGAGCCTGATTTTACTCATCAGGATTCCAGGCTGGAAATACCTAAGCTTATTCCTGGCATAGGAGCTTGTTTTCAAAATCATACAACCATCCAACAGATGTCCGCTGGGTACCTCCTTTATGCCGGATGTTCCCCTGGGCTCTGCGGAAACAATTGTGAAGAGTGTGTAGCTCAGTATATGTTTTCATGTTTGGTTCTCATGGTATAAAGCTGAAAACTTTATGAGTAAGGAGGGGTCCAGTCCTTGCCTTACCGTTATAACCTATGGGGAGATCATGAAGAGATGTGGGATATTAGGGCACAGGGCATGTGCTGGGTTTTTGTTACTCTGCACTATGTTTGTGCCAGAACAGCGAGCCATCATTCATTTTTTTTTTTTCTGCTGCAGAGTACTCCACTTTGTAAACCTCTACACTAGATCCAGGTTTGAGTGTTTTCAAGCTGCTTGCAGGTTTTGTGTGTGTATGTGTGGTGTGTGTGTGTGTGTGTGTGTGTGTGTGTGTGTATGTGTCTGTATGTACATGCATGTACTGTGTTGCATAGGCCGTTCTTGACTATGTTTCCTAGTGTAGGTTGATGGGATTTCACCCCATCTGTAGGTGTTCTGTGAGTTTATTCTTCTACTAAGTGGAATGAAATCAATAACACACAGAATATCTAGATCTAAGACTCCAGCAGATGGAGCCAGGCACAGTGGCACACGCCTGTAAGCCCAGCACTAAGGAGGCAGAGGCAGGCAGATCTCTCTGAGATCAAGGCCAGCCTGCTCTACAAAGCAAGTCCAGGACAGCCAAGGCTACACAGAGAAACCTTGTCTCAAAAAATTTAAAAAAGACTCCAGCAGATGATGCGTACCTGCACTCCAAAGTTGATGTTCAAGAATATGAGTGAGATAATTCTTGTCCCATATCCTGTCTAATTCATAGTATTTTCTCTTTTGGATTTTTGTCAGCCTGCTGGATGGGAAGTGCTCTGTGTTAAAGTTACAAACAAGATGCTTTAAATTTGAATTTGGAAGATACGTAAATTTATTATTATATATTATATTAATATCAACTAATAATTAATTGTATTATATATATTAATTACTAGAGAAGTGGTTCTCAGCCTATGGGTCATGACCCCCCTTGGAAAGCATAGATATTTACATTATGACTCATAATACTAGCAAAATTACAGCTATGAAGTAGCAAGAAAAAGTAATATTATGGTTGGGGGTCAGCATAACACAAGGAACTGTTACAGGGTTGCAGGGTTAGGAAGGTTGAGAAGTACTGTACCAGGGCATCTAGATCGTTTTCTTCCCAGTACTAATACCCAGTTGGCCAAGTACTTGTGTGTTTTCATGTTTGCTTCTCATATAGTCTCTAATCTGACTTTCTACCTATGTAGGTCTTAAATATGTCCCATTTTTCCAGAGTAGAAGGAGGGAGCAACAGACCCCCAGCTTAGATGCATCAATCAGGACTTGGCCAGAGAAACACAGGCAGCAGGAAATATATCTTGAGATAATTATTGCAAAGAAATGACTTGAGCAGTAGGGGTGGGTCTTGCAAATGTCCAGTCTATGACAAGCCACCAGGAAGGGAAGGGTGGGACTCCTGTGTCC